GAGAGAGAGAGAGAGAGAGAGAGAGAGAGAGAGAGAGAGAGTGTGTGTTTGTCTCAGTGTACATGTTTTGCCGTCTTTGTGAGAACAGTAAATGGTCACGTGTTCATACCTGTGGGGACCAACACATGTTTAAGGCTCAAAATGTGGTTCTAGTGTCAGAGTCAACATTATGTCAGTGAGATCTAAGTGTGCGAGTTTTCCTCTTAATACAGTGAGTGGACTGATTCTATATAACACTGTTCTACTCCCGGTACAACACGCCACAGCAGCTCTGTGCTTTCAGGTGCGCACTGACTAACATGCACACTCGGAGATATTAACAGCGCGCTCATGCAGAGTGGGGGCAGCCAGGGATCGAACCAGCAACCCTCAGCAGCTGCCCTGCTACCGTGTGTGTGAAAATTTTATAAACGACTCCGTGTGAAACGATTAACGTTATAAAGTCACGTGACACAATAAAACCAACTGAGTGAACATTTAATGAAACATCAAAGAAATAAAAACAAACGTTTCCTGTAAAACGACCCCCCCTCCCCCTGTGACGTCAGCAGCTGCCCCCCCCCCTCTCTCTCTGTGAGGAGGAGGAGGAGAAGCGGAGACTGAAGTCTGAGCCTTCCAGCGACACTTTCCCGTGCTACCTGTCTGCCTGCTCACCTGTCTGCGCGTGCCAGGTTCGGACAGGAAACAACAGGAAAAGAAGAAGAAGAGGAGCAGGAGGAGGCGGAGGAGTGGGTCAGAGTTGAAAGTAGTTTCCTCCGCGCGGAGGCTCCGCTGTGAACATGGAGCTCGCTGGAAGTTTGGTGCTGCGCGCAGCTCTCCTTATGCTCTCGCTGGGACTAATGGGCGCGCGGGCGGACACCTTCAAAGGTAAGAAGAGCTCCGGGGCCGGGTTCGGGGCTCCAGGACCCGGAGGAGCAGGAGGAGGAGGAACATGGGAGTTACCGTGTTGGCATCCAAGTTTCCAGCTAGGAAAACCTCCCCCTCCTTCTCCTCCTCTTCTTCTTCTTCGTGGTTTTCTGTCCGAGTTTTCTGTCGGAACCAGAACCAGCTAAGTCGCTTTATTCTGTCACGTGACGGCAGTAGACCTCGGTAGAGTCCAGCTTTCTAACCGAAGTGCGTTCACATTCTGCCCGGTGTTGTTTTATGAACCCAAACTAACCGACTGATCGATCAGATGATCGGAAACATAATCGGCTCTGATGATGTCACAGTCCTGCTTCTCCAACAGTAGAATCTATCAATAGAACAGAGTAGAAACAGACACAAGAGCAGGCTGACTGCGTGTGAAGCAGGACAGGCTGAAGTCCGTCATTACACAAATAGATTTGTGATTGATGGTATTGATCTGATCGGCTGGACGCTCTGCTGCAGAACCCAGAGTAGAACCCACAATAGAACACAGCAGATGTTTGCAGTAGAATCAGTGAGGTCGCAGCACAGAGCTGAGATGAATCCCTTTGAATTCATGTGAAGTAGAACTCACGCAGCCACATTTGACCGTATTGATCATATTGATTATATTTGGAGTGTTTTCTCAGTGTTTTTCTGCAGGTGAAGAGTCACACAGTAGAATTAGTAGAAACCAGGATTGATTCTCCTCCCATACAAAAGTCTGTTTGAATTCTGACTCATTGAACAGTTGTGGGAATAAAAGTCACAGGTTTAAATATTGATCATATTTCTAATGCAGTGATCATGTTGCAGCAGAGTAGAATTGAAAATAGAGTCCAGTAGAAGCAGGACAGTAGAGGACAGTAGAACAGAGAATATGTGCCGCGGTGGGACTGTCTGATTTAAGGTCAGGCTGTTATTGATCGATTGCCCGTCTCTCAATAAAAACGACATGTTTGTGCGTTCGGTCCCGTTTCCTGATGTCGGCGTCGCTGCTCTGACTGTTGCATTCAAAGACTCGTTTGAACCAAAGCCCAGAGAAACAGCTCCATGAGAGCGCGTGTCGGCACGGCCACATCGATAAATCAATACCATGATTATTGATTAACAGTCTGGTTGTGTTCTCGAGGCTTTTCATGTCTCTGGTAACACCCAGGCTCTGCAGTGAGCCGCAGACATGTTGTGGATGTGTGTACTTGTACTGCAGTAGTACAGCCTGTGGATGTGAGGATGATGAAGGTGAGGTTGTTTTCAGTCAGCTGTTGTGCCTGTGCTCAGCTGATGGGGGCAACAGTGAGCAGACGGTCTCTCCTTTACTAAAGTTTACTTCTTCGTTTTTAAAAACAAAAGCTGTTCAGAGCAGATTTGATCGCCATGTCGACGCCTCTCCCCTCAACATCACATCTGCACTCGGATTGGATTCAACACTGCGTCTTGGTCGCTTTTAAACGCTGCACCAAAAACTGGTCCACCCCAAGGATCGGGTCCCCCGACACAAACAGAGTAACATAGTGGTTCAAGGTTCAAGGTTCTTTATTTGTCACATGCATAGTTATACAAGTATAACACACAGTGAAATGTAGCCTGACACGCTCCTCGACATGTGCAAAA